TTGCAGAAACATCTGTAGCCCCCTGAATACTCCACACCAATCCCCCAATCCCATTTTTCTCCCTTCATCACTAGAAATTATTTGGTGTTATTTCTGAGTACAATTTTACATTTTCACGACATATGTATAAACTTGTTTTATAAATTTTCAAAGCACGGTATCAAAATGTAAGCATTCTGTGGTATTGTTATTACTGTATGGCATTCCCTGAATGAATATATCACACTTTTCCTTGTCATCACTTTGATAGACTTTTTGCTTCCCATGGCCCCCACCCTGATGTTCCAGTGAGGTAGGATTGATAAATTCCAGTTTTTAGTTCCACACAAGTTCTAACCATATTGTCTGATCTCTTAGAAGACTTAGAAACATACATAAACTATCTTATAGGATAATTTCCTTGTTTACTAATTATTATTTATTCTGAGGATGACCCTTTCCTCACATTACTTCCAAATTTTTGGTTCACTAAACTAAAGATCCCTGCTTTGCTGTAAAATTATCCTCCTAGGTATTTAACTCTGTGACCCAGCAATTTATAATGGCAAGAATCTACATTTTGAAGATGCAAATCAACAATTTTCGTTCATCTGTCTTCAAACAAAGGCTGCTTGTGTGGAATTTGGCTTCCCACACTGCTATGGTCTGAATGCTTCTATTTCCCACAAAATCTGTATGCTGAATCCCTAACCCCAATGTGATTCTATTTGGACAGAGAACTTTTATAGAAGTAATTAGGGTTAAATGGGATTCTGATTTTATAAAATTGGTGTCCTTATGAGAAGAAATAAATGAAAGTTCACTTGCTGCCATCCATGCTTAATATTGGACTTCCAGAACTGAGAGAAAATAAACTTTAGCTGTTTAAGCAACCTGGTGCATTTTGTTGTTTTTGTTTTCCTTTGCAATACTGGGGACTGAACCCAGAGGACTCTGCCACTGAGCAACATCCCTGGCCCCTTCTTAAAATTTATTTTATTTTATTCAGTACTGAGAACTGAACCCAGGGGCCTTCTACCACTGAGCTGTATCACCAGCCCTTTCTTTTGATACAGTCTTCGTAAATTGCCCAGGATGGCCTCAAACTTGGGATCCTCCTGCCTCAGCTGCCTGAAGTAGCTAGGATCACAGATATGTACCATAAAGCCTGGCTTATTCTGTGGTATTTTGTTATGACCGTTGTAGCAAACTAATACATGCACTAACTCCAAGACCTGACTGCATACTGAAAAAGAGGAGGAAAGCAATGGGAGGTCTGGATTCTAGTCTAAGCTCAATCATTCTGATTCTAGGGTATGACACTAAAACTCTTTGTCAATAAAATGAGTGGCATTAAATAGCACTTTTTTCAGGTCCCTTAAAATTGAACGTATTTAACACACATGTTGTAGGCTATGACTTATGCATTGCAGTGCCAGGATTCTATCTTGAAGAAATAATGAACAATAGTCAAAGATTTAGTTACAGAATATCCATGACAGAATTACATTTGATGGCAAAATAAAATCTGTTAAAAAATACAAACAAAAAAACTATCCAACATTAAAGTATGTTAAATTATAGTAGAGACAAACAATGCAGTATCTTTGCATTAAAAATGATACTTTATTTATTGAGAAAACTGTTAAAAAAAAAAAACCTGCTTTGGTTATAATTATAACATCAAGGTTATAGTGTTGAGAAATCATGTTCTTTAAAATCATGTATCAGCAAAAATAACTTGTTTGAAATCCCATCAGTACCAACTCATATGAATCACTTTTAAAATTTTTTGAACTGCTTTTTTGAAATATAGTTAATATAAACTATAATACTTAAAGTACACAATTTGGTACTTTGGTAAGTTTTAAAATACATATACACCTGTAAAATTGATACCATCTGTTACTGGTGATGAGTCCTGCTTCCTCACATACTGAAGTATAACATTAGAGAAGCACTGAGAGGCAAGCATATAAAGCAGGGTTTATTTAAAAAGGGTCACTTCTCCTGGGAGGGAGAAGGGGACCATAGCTGGTATCCCCAGAAGTGAGGGTGTTTTGCCTTTTTATCTGTCCTAGGTTTCCTTTGTTCTCCTGTTTTCTTCCCCCCTTATCTCTCTCCTTCCTGCATATCTATGACTAGGCCCAGGAGATACTGCATGGGATGGCCAAAAGGTAGAGGGGTCAGGGAGGAGTGGTCTGGGTAGGAAAGGGGGCCTAGGGAGAATTAATTAGCAGTTCCAACTCCAGTCTGCTCAGAAGTTGCTTCATTAACAATTCTTTTAGGATGGGCAGTATAGGCCAATCTCCCAAGGGCACAATTTCCAACCTTTGGACGCAAACCGGTTTAGTCTGTTTTCTACAATCTGGCCAGATTTATCAATCTAGGCTGACTACCTGTTTTTTTTAATTCTGGCTTCAAAATCATCACCACAATCAAGATAATGAACATATTAATCATCCCAAGTTTCCTGGTACTCCTAGTACCTCCCCCTCCCACCTTTTTGTTCTCACCTTGCATCCCCAAGTAACCACTTATTGGCTTTCTGTCACCAATAATTACTTTGCATGTTCTAATTTTACATAAACGGAAACATACAATATGTTCTTTGGAGGGGGAGGGGCAGTGAGGGAGAGATCCTAGATTCTTTCATTCAGCATAATTGAGATTCATTCATGTTGCTCCATGTATTTATAGTTCATTCCTTTTTATAGCTGAGTGGTATTCCCTTTTATGGGCCACTTCCAGAAAAAGCAGTCCTTATTTCCAACCCAGGTTTGGTTTCAGACACATTTTACATTTATCTCAACTTTACCATTCAGAAGGGATTCCCAGTCTACTTAGACCAGAGTTGGTATTAACTTAATATTACATACAACTCTGCTTTGCTTTCAGTCTTTCAAAGCATGGTTTCATTTAAAATTTTACCTAAACTTTATCCCTCTGCAAATCAATAAACATAATTTTGTGTGACTGCAGCAGCAAAGTTCTTGGTAGGCTTTATCAGATGATTTTTATTAATTGACATGAATGCCCATTTCTACATTAAGTGGAAAACAGTAAACAGCAGATGAACCCATTTTTGTTTTCAAAATATAAATACATGGAAAGATGAGGAGAAACTTAAAAATGAGTATATTTGTATTATCAAATATAGGAAATATTGTTTCCTATCCTTAAGATTACAGTTACAAAAAAATATGATTTAGGAGTGGCATACCTCACTACTATTATTTTTTTTCATATGAAATTTTTCTTTTTATTTATTCACTCTTTTTGCTCACAGAAATTTAGAAGACATTGTTAAAATAGAAGTAAAAGAGAATAGAATTTAAAAGTTAATAGATATTAAAGTGAAATTTGATAGTTACAATGATGGTTTTTATGACTCAGCATAATCTCTAGATAACAATTGTTTCATATTATTAATGTACTTAACATATTTTAAAATGTATATAGTACCTCAAAAAGAAAGTTCTCAATAGATTAGTGTTCTTCCAAAATAGAAAAATATTTAAAATAGATTCCCCACATCTGTTTTATAGATTCCCTTAATATGGCCTTTTCTGTTTTCTATATTACCAGAATCAGGTCACCAGGTCTAACTCCTGTTTGTCCCCCCCCCCACACACACACACACACCTCACTATTATTGTAATAGTTTAATCTATAAATTCACAGGAGTTAAATCTAGACTGGCCAGCGGAACTTCTTAGGAAATCATGACCCTTCATGTCTGGAACCATAACAAATATGTAAGATTGTAAATCTTATTTCAAAAACATGAATGGAATTTGTTAACTTTTAGAGCTTAAGCAGATTCCAATGACACCTTCTAAGTTTCTGACTTTATAATTTACAGCATTTAATTATAAGTCTACATAAAGTTTAGCAGTTTATTTTTGTTATTACAAAACTCCCTTCCACCCACTAATCACAACATGCACTACAACTGCTAAAAAGTAGGTCAAAATACTTGACATATTTTTGGCATTGGGTTCTTGTACTTAGTTCACTTGTTTACATACTAATGATCATTTAATGCTAAAACATTAAATTTTCTTACAGAAAAAAATGAAATTTAAACACCCTAAGGCAGTCCCCAAATATCTTTGTAATTAAAATCTGAAAAGGCAATTCATTCCCTTCTAATGCTACATCTCACAGTTGGTCGACAGAGCAAACAAAAATAGAATTTTTAAAACTCCTTTTAACGCGTTGTAAAAAACCTTAAAATAAAACGCAACGAGGAAGCTACCTCTACATGTAAACACAATCTAATGAGCTTCCTCTCATTATTTCTTATAGCAGCAAAATAATAGTACCGCCCACAGGCTTTCAGAATTTTGAATTCTGGATACTAAAAACAGCACGACTGAATGAGCTCAACAGCGCAAACACGCCCTAGAACGGCTGGCAAAGGGCAGACACTCAACAGTTGGCCCGAAGATAAAGATCCACTTGGTGAATTAAACCCAGCTTCACCCTAGGAGGAGGGGTGGGTGCCTGGCTTCAGACTCCACTGAATGCACTCTGGAAGCATCTAGCTGACTGGTGACCTAAGGAAGAAAAAGGCGCTTTCATTTCAACATCACTCCAAAAAAAAAAAAAAAAAAAAAAAAGGAAAAAGAAAAGAAAAATAAGAATGAAAAGCCCTACACCTCTACCCAGAGAGAATTTGACCCAGACCCGGTGCTCGGGTTCCTCGCTCTTCACCCTTATCCCCGAGCCCGCCCTCCACGAGCACCCTTCCGTTGCACTCATTCAGAGCATCCCGTCTATCTCTGTGTTACCGGCCCACCTGCCGGGCTTCCCCCAGTTAATCTTCCAGCCCCCAATCCCGGGTCACCAGTCCCTAGGTTCCACTTCTCCGCCGGGCCGGTACCCGCCACCGCCACGCCTTCGCGCCACGGTTCTCTTCCCGCCCAGCCCCTCCCGCGCCCACGTGACACCCACGCCCCGCCCACCGCTCCCACGTGACCCGCGGCCATCCCCGCGCGCGGCGTGGATCGCGGCCGGAGCCGCCATTGTTCCGCCGAGGGAGGATAGCGGGGCCTGGCGCTAGCGCCGAGACGCCGCTTAGCGGTCGCCACTGGAGACACTCCCTCCCTTCGCCCCGGCTCTCCTCCTGGCGGCGGCGGCGGCGGAGTGAGACTGATAGGGGGAACCTGGGAGCCCCTCTGTCCTCCCCGCGGCGGCAGCGGCCGATCGCCGGCTCCGGCGCGAGGAACGGCCGCGATGCGCTTGGCCTGAGGTGGCCCGGCAATCGTCGCTTCCTTTGACTCTTCCACGGCGTCTCTGCGCCCAGCGTCATCCTTCAAGTCCCCCTGACGGGAGGGAAGATGGCTGCACGAAGCTGGCAGGACGAGCTGGCCCAGCAGGCCGAGCAGGGCTCAGCCCGGCTGCGGGAAATGCTGTCGGTCGGCCTAGGCTTCCTGCGCACGGAGCTGGGCCTAGACCTGGGGCTGGAGCCGAAGCGGTACCCGGGCTGGGTGATCCTGGTAGGCACCGGCGCACTCGGGCTGCTGCTGCTCTTCCTACTGGGCTACGGCTGGGCCGCAGCTTGCGCCGGCGCCCGCAAGAAGCGGAGGAGCCCGCCCCGCAAGCGGGAGGAGGCGGCAGCCGCGCCAGCTTCAGCCCCTGATGACCTAACCTTGCTAAAGAATCTCCGAAGCGAGGAGCAAAAGAAGAAGAACCGGAAGAAGCTGCCCGAGAAGCCCAAAGTGAGTAGGGGTGAGGGACAGGTACAGCGTGCCGGCGCCGCGACCTTCGAGCGAGGGGAGGGCCGAGCTCCAGCCGGGGAGCGAATAGAGTGGTTAGGCGACAGCCGAGGCGCAGATCTGCCAAAGTGGAGGAATAGGTGCTAGATAGGTGGGCATGTTACTTTGGGGAGTAGGGGAAACTCCGGAGGTATAAGGGCGGGTAGAGAAGCCCAGTTTCCAGGAAGGAAGTTAGATGCTCTGAGTTTAGTATAAACAAGAGTACCCAGAGGTCAAACCACCTTCAGGAACCTTGACACTAGAATAACATACCTTACCTTAAGGCCTACCTTAAGGGTAGGCTGCACGTGGAGGGTAATGGGACCTTAAAGGCGGTGTTGGGAAGTTGTGCAAAGAGTACACCTGGAAGATCACTCTCAAGTCACACTGAGACCGTAGCCAGAAATTCGGTGACCTAAAAACTCGGGCTTACAGAGGATTAAGGGTGTCCAGGTCTAGACCCGCTTCCATTTTAGTTGGGACTTTAAAGGGAAATGGTTGCCCACTCTTGGTCTGGTGAGTTGGGCCAAGGGAGGCCAGAACAGAAACAAGGCAAGTGAGAGTCGGCTACCCCATATTCTTCAGGGGTATATGGCCACAAAGAGAAAGAGCTCAGGCAAGTTAAGCGAAGTGGACTGTTGTGCACTCCATGACGTGGGAGGTTTTTGAAATAGGGTAAAAGGGGATGACGGGGCAGAATGGTGAAGGTTGAGGGTTTCAGGCACCAATTTACTAGACCACGTGTGGAAATGCAGAGGGCATCACATCCCTTTTGTCATGCCTTCATGTTTTAGTTGTACATTCTTTATTGCCATTTTTCTGGTGGTTTTCCCCTTTATATCTTTCGTAGTTTCATATATTTTTAAAATGCTTTACAAGTTGAGCACATTGAGAATATGGAGGTCTTGCAGAGTTAGAAATATCTCTTAACCTATTTTTTTAATCCACGTAATTAATTTTTGCCTTTCAGTATAATTCAGTAATCCTTACTATGAGAAGTGCACACTGTTGTGTTTGGTTGGCAGTATGAGGTATGCACATAGGAGTTAAGAGTCAATCACAGGATACCGATTCATAAATAACTATAATATTGCAGGCTGCTAGGTGCTAATAGAGATGTGAACAGAGTATTAATGAGGTTTGGAGGGTGGGAGACTCATTCCATTGGATGGATTTAGAGAAGTTATTGAGGGAAGTGGAGTGTAAATTCAAACTTATGAGAATATTGTTGGTAACAATACAAAAATAAGGCTATATTAGAGATGTGACAGGTCACAATCAATTAGGCCTGGTTAAACATTGATGTTTTGCTTGCTGATTAGGAAGTGCAAGATATATGAAAGCTAGAAAGGGCTCAACTTAGGAGAAGAAAGAAATAGAACTGACTTGGAACATAATAAAAATGCAGAGAGCACCAAGGATTGCCAGAAAGTAATGTTATGATGGAATTAAAGAGCCTGGCTCTAGGGTAAAGAAGGTGATCTTGGGGCGGGGGGAACGACACCTATTAATCCTAAACCCTGTGCAGATGTTGCAGGTTGTGAAAACTTCAAGGCCCTATTTGGGACATCTAGAATTTCAGATGGACTTGAGGCGAGAGACAGGTGCTCCAAAGAGCCCATCTGAAGTGCATCATAACATTCAGATGACTCATCTGAAGAAGGAACAGATTGGTGAACACTTGACACTATGAAAAATGCAAGTTCGATTAGGGCTTACCACCTCTTTTGAGTTAAGAAAAGGGGAAATGAATAAGTAAATAAACCTAGAATTGGCTTTGAGAAGTGGAGAACAGGGACACTGACTGGATGGTGAAATGTTAATTAGGTGAGAAAGTAAATGTTCTCTTATCAAAATGTTGAAGATGTTATCAAGGTACTACCTACAAATAAAAGGTAGTAAAAAGAGATACAGTATTCTAAATTGGATCACATTTGTTGGTTTCACATTTGATTTTGAGACATGATCCACAGAAAAATACTGCTTTATGTGGCTAAGTATAATCCACCCTTTGTTTAGTACTCATTATGTACCTTGCAGTGTACTAAGGATTTACTTGAAGAAAAAGCAAGGTACTACCTACAAATAAAAGGCAGTAAAAAGAGATACAATATTCTATGTCACTCTGAAGGGGATACAAAAGTAAAAGCTCTCTTTCTCCCCAGGGAGTTCTTTATTTCAGTTATAGAAGATACACACTGGGTTCTGCATCCATGAATTCAACCAACTGGGGAGCAAAATATATATTTTTAAATTTATAAAATTATACGTGCGCTAAATGCCTATAGACTCTTCTTATAATTATTCGCTAACCAATATAGTACAACACTACTTACTTAGCATTTACATTGTACTAAGCCTTACATGTAATCTAAGGATGATTTAAAGAATGTGAGGATGTTTGTAGGTAATATGCAATACTACATCTTATGTAAGGAACTGCATCTGCAGATTTTGATATCGTTAGGGATCCCAACCAGTCCCTTGTGGATGCCAAGGGACTACTGTACTCAAAAAACTTAACAGTACAACCCTGTTATTCCAGGTAGGCACCAAATACCTAATCACAAAGTTGGCTTTTAAAGTTGGTAAGGGGTAGGAGCCAGGTAGTGGGAGAGGCAGGCCTGAGATACCACAAAGGCCCAGGGTTGGAGGAAGACAATTTACCAGCCTGGCAGGAAACTTGTAACGTGTTTAACCTTATCTTTTTAGCTTGTCTTGTTTATAAATTGAAGATCTTAGTTGAGTTAAAACACTGCAGGAGTCCTCAAAGTGTCCTGGCTATTTGTAATAGAGTAACTTAGAATACTCATTATAT